TTTTTTTTTTTTTTTGTTGTTAATTTTTTTTTTTTTTTTTTTTTTTCGTTGTTCCTTAACATTAGTCCAAATAGCATTTAGCAAGATTTTTATCGAATTCTGCGTCATTTATTAAATATATTTTACGAGGGCACATAATTGTTCATAACTTTTTCTTATTGAAAAATTAAGGGTGCTCTATACTATAAAAAAATAAAAGTTAAACTTTGGTAATTTATATTTAAGTGCGCTATTATTAAGCATTACATAATAGATATTGTTTGTGTATTCTTTTCGGCAAACATTTCTAGAGTGATCTAGTACCTGGCTTATTTGATCCAATCTTTTAGTAAACTTTGTACTTGTACTGTACAAACATCATTTCTCACTAGTAGTAAAATTATATATTTATTATTAGCTAACCGTTTTACACTTTGGTTGTCTATTTCAAGGGATTTTTTACGATTTCAAATAGAATGCCGTCAGCTTCATGTCCGTTGGAATATTGTTTTGGTACCAATGACCAATGTTTTTACACTAAGTAAATAACCTGATAGTGATAGCCTAAGCCTAAATGAAATAGTGAAATAGTAATTGTCTACATTCTATTTTATAAAAAGAATAAGAAACAAATTTAAGTTGGTGCCGTTGGTGCGTATTTTTTTTTTTAGTTTATTGATTAGTATTAGTAAATACTAAATAGTGTAGGCGTAGGTTATCCTACAAATTTAGTCTAAACTTTTAGAAAATCTTAATGGTAGCCCTAAAAATGAATTTATTTAGAAGAAAAATCAACATTCAGTCTGACAGCATAACAGAGAAAAAGAAAGGGGGGAAGCTGTTTCCTCATAAATATCCTTACTAAATAAATACTAATAAAGTTAAAGGATTATTAATGATTAACCTAAGCCCATTTGATACTTTGTACTGTGTATCATGCATCTATATTGGGTCTATATTATAAATTTTAATCCTATGGTCTATGTCTATACTATAGCTCTTTTTTATACGGATTATACAGCATTTTGAAACGCGCCTAAAACTTTAATTTTGATGACATTTGCAAAAAGTTTGGAAGGTATCAAAACTAAAATTCTTTTCAGCTTGTGATTTATTATCGAACTGAGGTGTTGTCAGGAGAACGAATTACAAATATATGAACGAGGCAATACTTCGCCAGCATAATTGAAAGTAGGTTTTTAAAGGTTTGGTTTGATTTGATTGGCTGTACTACCAATAGCTCCCTAGAAGCTATTGGTAGAAAACTACCTATAGTTATAGACACTTTCATTTTAAATACATTTTGGCCCACTTAATTGTCTTAATTGCAACAAGCCCCAAGGCCAAGAAAACTGTAATTTAAGTTAAAGTACTAAAATAAGAAAGTTATAAACTATATAACAATAAAGGCCATCCATCAATGTCATCACACTTTTTTTTTTAAAGCTTAAATTTGTCAAAAATAAAGTGTATAGTAAGGGCCATCCATAAATTCTGTCATCACACTTTTTGGGGTCGATTTTGGTAAAATTGGAGTTGGTGCGTGGTGATGTAGTACCCATGCTGTGTACTATATTTTTGTATATAGACGTCATCTTTGTTACCAAGACAGAGGACATAAAAAAATTTTAATAATAAAAATGAAGAAAAGGAAAAAAAAATTTTTTTTAAATATTTAAAATAAAGAAACCCAACTTACATATTCATCGAATAAACTTTTACTCATTATATTACATGTTCAACCCAAAATAAAACCCAAACAACGTCAGTCAAGCGAAAATCCATTTCTCAAGATGACCAGAATTCTGCAAAAAATAGCTCCACATATTTTTACCTCGCTTTCAAATATTAATTAACATTGATGACTATTAGGACAGTAATCTGTTTGTACTTTTGTTAACAAAGGGTAGTTCACTCATACAAAGAAATGCTTCATAACTCTCCTGATCCAATGGGATCCTTATTTTGTAAACCCCCCCCCCCTTCCCCCCCATAGTCTCACACAAATTAGACCCTTATCGCACATTCGTGACGCCCCCACCCTCCAAAGCCTGTCATCTTTTATGGATGGCTCCTAACATAATATACTTATTCTTCAGTAATCTTTTTGTACTTTTTTTAACAAAGGGTAGTTCCCTCATACAAAGAAATGCTTCATAACCCCCCTGATCCAATGGGATCCTTATTTTGTAAACCCCCCCCCCCCTTCCCCCCCATAGTCTCACACAAATTAGACCCTTATCGCACATTCGTGACGCCCCCACCCTCCAAAGCCTGTCATCTTTTATGGATGGCTCCTAACATAATATACTTATTCTCAATTAACAAGTACTAGCCTAATACTCGTACATTTAATTTTTAACATTTTTACACATGACAACTTTGATAAATTTACTCCTTTATCGGGGATTATCTGATCATAAAGGTTCAAAACATCTAACCTTCTCTTGATTTCATTTTATTTCCTTTTTATCCTGAGCACGCTACATATTTTAATGAAGTATTTAATTTTACTATTAACTCCTTAACATAATATTTCAGGTTGCACAATGTCTTATTTGTATGAATAAGATTGGAAATGTTCTTACTGAAAAATTAAATGACTAAAGAACAGTAACACATATTCTACAGAGGTAATTAAACATAAAATCAAAGCCTTGGAAACCATAAGCCTCAAGATGCGGCTTTTTGTTGTCTTTCGGACTTTTGACAGGATATGGTCATGTAAAACTTACACACGAGAACTCGCTCCATTTGAAATGGACATGTCTAAAGGACCAATTAAGCTGATGTTTATGGTTGACCTGATTGTTGCAGACCCAGATGGACATGAATTTGCATTGCAGCATTCAAATTTCTTAGCAAAATATAGCGACTTCTCACGTGACTCTATATCATTTTACTGCCTACCACACAGGAGCTTCTTTCCAAAAATAGTGACACATCGTATAAAAGATAATGAAGCGGCAGCACCAGTTAATGGAAATAGAAATCGACTTCGGAGGTTTTCAGTACCAAGTTTAGAACTGGATGTACCATCTCCATTTAGTGTTTCTGAAGGATGTGCCGATGTCATATATTTTGTGCTGCCAATGTATAGATGTACAGTTCTTCTAGATGCTCATTTAGCCTCATGTATTAGCTCTGAATACTCTCGTAGTAGAGCTTTCCGAAGGCATTTCTGGCATTTTCTGAAAGATCAGAAAGGTTTTCGGAATTGCATACCCGACTATGAGGCATGGACACAGGAAGAAAGGGATGCATGGGATATGTACTTAACAGTGCCATTTATGATTGACCTTGTAGCTGTTTGGCCGAAACAGAAAGTTGACTATGCCTGGTAAGATATATTTTCCAAAGTAACACATGCACAAAATTTTAATGGTTCTAGGGAAAAAGACTGTTTAAGTTTTGCTTCTCCTATTTATTTTTGGTGAACCGTACCATTACGCTAATTTTCACAATTTATCCGATTTATACTGAATTATCATGTTATTATTAGTAGGAACAAAAAAATAAAAGGATCTAAGATGATGGGTATTAACAGAAGTAGCAGATGTTATTTGTAATTATAGAATGATTGAAAACATAAGCAAGGCTTGTCATCTTTTAACTACCGGTAACCTATATGTTTTTTCTTACGTGGATGAGTAACTGTTTTTTTTTTTTTTTTTTTTTTTTTTTAACCCGGGTTTCTTTTTTCAATTATTTTTCATAAATATAAATGCAAAATAATTGTAATAAAGCAGAAATATTTTGTTCTTTAGATTTACTGACTTTTTATTTATTCAACAGTATGTAACGTTCGTTTTGTTTAATTTTAATTTTTTTTTTTTTTTTTTAATGCAATAAAAAAATTCACATATCACCTGAAATAACTTACAGAATTATGTGAGTTTCATTTTCTTGTTGTGTCCATTTAGGAGCAGCAGAATCCTTGCGTTGCTGCATAAGCATATTGTATTGGCAGAAGGATTTGCCTGGCTGTCAACTCTTGGTGGGGCTCACTCCTCCCTAGGGGAAACGTTCAGATACCATGTAAGTGGTTAAAGTTAGTGTTATTTCAGCAAGTGATTGTTGCTGCATAAAGCATTTGAAATTCTAGGAAACTAAAATTGTTTAAAGTTTGTACCACACTAGCGACTGAGTCAGCAGCAAACTCAGATAGAAATGGTTTACATACCTGTAATTAGGTTGGACTTTTTTGCAATTTCTGAAAATAGATTTTAAATTTCTACATTTTGAAATGCAACATTGGAAGAACATACATTTGAGCTTTTAACCTTTTTTTCTTAGTAGAAGAAAAAAACGTATTGCTTCAAATTACTGAAATTTTGATTCACTTATCATATTTTTAGGCAGAGAAAGCTGGAGAAATCTCTGGGAAGCAGCTAAGACTGGCTATAGAGCTTGGAAATGAGAGTTTGATTGCTCGTTGTTATTTGTTCTGGTCATGGAGCTTGCTACAGAAAGGAGAGTTGAGAAGATGCAAAGCCTGTGTTCTGTAAGACTTTCATGTATTATTGTGTCTTGTTTTGTTAAATATTTCATTCATGTCTGGCCGTTGGCAACGAAGAATAGTTGGCCTGAAATTCCAAATAGCTGCTATGCGTACCCGGCTCCCTTTACACTAAATCCCATTTGGATGTCATTTGTGGTAGTTTATTTTAGTTAAACTGAAGAAGTAAGTTTACAAACATATAGTCCATTTAATTATCTTTCATTTGATACCTCATTTCGACTTACAAACCCAACAATAATACCGATATTTTAAATAGTTTTCTAATCCCAACCTCTCACTTCTGAAACCCGGGTGCGAATAGTCACAGCCATAAAAAATCAGTCCTCATTACATCCCACCCCCAATAACTCAATATCTTTGTCAAGTCCAATGATATTGTTTCACTTCGTTAATTTAAATACAAGAATCTATATTGCCATAATAATAATAATAATAATAAAGTTCATTTAAAAAACACGCTTCATCCCCAAAGGCTCGAAGCGCGGTACAAAGTCAACAAAAAACAAATCTATAATTTACCACATTTAAAACAAACGCAATACTACAAAAACTAATTACAAGCATACAATGTCAAAGTCTTTCAACCCATTTCAACCGTGAGCAACGCAGCTAATATGCATTAAATGGAAAATATGATAGACTATCATCCCAGAAAGTGTTTGCGAAATAAATGTGTCTTTAAATCGGTTTTAAAGGACTCCAGTGTCTGGATGTTTCTGAGATCGAGTGGAAGGGCGTTCCAAATTGTTGGACCAGCAAACGCGAAAGTGCGCTTTCCGCAAGTCTCAAGGCGAACACGTGGTGTCAAGAGTGTGCCACTGTCGGATGAGCGGAGTTCACCCTCAACTAGCATAATTAACAGAGGAATTATATCTAATTACATCAAAATTGCTTTCAAATTCAGCATCTTGACCCAGTGCTATTGATCAGTGTAATAAAATTTGATGAAAAGCTGGGAGGTGGGGGGATTTATGAATTTTTCATGTTTCTACGTTATGTGGACACTGTTTGGTGACATGTGGATAGAAAGGTTAAAATCAGTCGCACCACTTGGTGTCTATGATAAAAAAAAGTCATAAAAAGCTGTAGCTACGATTTGATTTTCTGATAATCCTTCCAAATTTTCAAATTGGTGTACATTTATTTTTTTTCATTTTTCAGAAATACTTGGAAGTTCTGCCAGGGAATTCAGTGTCGAGACTGGATGCTAGAAAACATGTGCAAAGCTGTGTGGAGCAGGCTCAGGTACAAACGAGCTCTGCGCAAGGAAAAGAGGAAACGTGCCAAGGTTATCAAAAGCTGTGACTTCTCAGACAACAACCGAGGTGGGGGAGATAGCGGTGATTTTAGCAAAAAAAATACCCACGACCGGACCAGCTGGGATCCCAATGGCAATGAAGGTAGCAAAACGACCTGTACCACACCCCCTCTGTGCGTCAGCTCAAGTCCAGTGGCTTTGTCCAGGAAAGTTGCAGCTGTGAGAGTGGTTTGAATGTGTCCATCTGTAACTCACAGCATTTGACTGGGTTGACTGGGTTCTCAAACAGCCATTTTTTTCAGTGCTTATCAGTAGTTCTTTGTGGGACATCCTGTTAACGTGTATCATCACATATTCTCTTACTAATAAATATTGCTTCTGATTAACATTTAGAGTAGGGAAAGAGTCAAGTTTATCCTTGCTGTAGACTAATGTTTTTGTCATTTTTAAACCAAGTTTCTAAACAAAAATATTTGATTGAATCAAACAAATATTGTACACGTTTATTTGTGAATTCATTGCAAAATGTTGGAGTTGGATGATAAAGGTTGTAAAAAATTGAGGAGGCATGTTTTTAAAAAATCCAACTAAGGGCATGGATCACTTATAAATTTTAGCAATGTTGCTGATTTGTTTCACATCTAAAATGAATGACTTCAATTGTTTTGAGCGACTTGTCAAAAATTAGGATTTTATGAAAGTTTTGAGTGGGAGTAGAATCTATCATATTTGTTAGAACACCTTCAACCTATTTTACAAATTGTCTTCATGGGGTTTAATAAACATCTATTTGATGATGTAGATGTGGAGATGTTTTTATTCTATTTCTATACCTAATTATTTTGGTAAATGTTTTCATCTTGTTTATTTAAAATGCAAAACCTCCATACAGACTTTGTAAAACCCAGTCATAGCTTGTGAATTATTCAAAATAGTGAGACTGATTGCTCTGTGCCAGGCAGCCTAAGCTGACAAGTTTAGGAAGTGGAAGAAGAGAAACTGGAAAGATAGAAGCAGGGAAAAAAAAACAGAAAGCGTATCAGTTCGTACTTACTGTAAAATGTGAAATTGGGCATTAGTTGCATGATAAGCATTGTCAGAAAAAGTCAGATATGCACAGCTAGGTGTGAATTACATTGACTTAGAAACAACATGCTGTAAATATTGACAGTGAGTCATCAATGGCAGCCTGCTCACAGTTTTCTCATGACTCAACCAAAATGGTCGTCATCATTATTAGATTCCTTCATCCATGGGATTGGGCTACAGCCCTTAAAAGACTCTGGCTTGCATTATTGCATCCCTCCAGTTGGAGTGATCTCTTCAACTGTATGCTTGGACCCTTAGTTGTAGCGGGTCTACCACCATATCATTGTTTCATCTCTTAATTGCATGTGGATGATGATTATAATCTCATATAATTTATGAACAGCATTGACATTTATCCCGGTGATAAAACCTTATTTCCAGTGATGTAATAAAACAATGATTAACTTGTTTCTCTTACTTAAGACAAATAGTGGTACTTTTGCAATGCCATATTCATTTAGTTTTATTCTTGATTAAAAGTATTTTACTGTACCACCATTAATCAACATTTCAAAGACAAATTATGAGTTTGTTTCAGGGTTTTAATGAATGATAAATGTTATATTGCAGTTTTATGTTGAATTAAGATATCTTCTGAATGGATCAATTTCACAACTGACATTTATTTATAAGAAGAAGAGTATCAATTAGTTTGTACTGTTACAGAGGTCAGATTTCCCTTACCTTGCCACCACCAGATAGAATACCACTGCCAAACTTTTGTTTGCTACATGATAAAATATGTATAAAATTGACTTTGTGAGTTTGAATCGAGTCAGACATCAGCATTCTGAACACTCAATGGCTTGTTTGGGTTATTTTAAATATAATACTCATATGCTGAATAAAATCAATGATAAGCGCATTAACAATTTCTGTTGAGTGTTTTTATGTTATAATTACCATGCTTGGTTCAGATTCAGACCTCTTTAAATTGTTGCTTTCAGTTTTATTATTGTTTGAATAGTTGTGTACAAAGTAACTTTTCAACTTTCTGATTGTGAAAGAAGCACATGCCATTTAGGTTTTTAGAATGATACAAATATAATTTTAAAGGAAAATTAGATCACTTAATAGTATTATTCTGGCAACACAATATTATATTTTGTGTAAAATTAGTAAAATAAGTTGATTGTTATTTGAATCAATTCTTACTTTTCCATGAAGTGCAATACATTTTTTTTAAAGAAATCAATATTTTATTCTACATTATGTTAAAATTAAATGCTCCTTAGAAAATAAAGCAAAAGCAGATAAAATTTGTATTGCCTACAACTTAATATTTTAATCTAGAATATTATTAGAACAGCTTATTTGACCATTGTATTGTATATTAAATCTAAGATTGTTGATTAAGTTGGCAGGTATGATAGACTACATTATTTTTTTATAACTTAAACTTTAAAAAAAAATGTTTTTCACAAAACAATTGTTTTTTTTCAAGCTTGTTTAAACAATTTTTTTATCTATTCATTTTTAACATTGTGTCCAATTTTGGGGTAGTTTGTTCAAACGCCATGTTTATTTAATTGAAATTGAAGTCCAAAGTAACTAATAATTAAAAAGTCATATTTTTGTAGTAGGTATTCAGTTGTCACTCGTATAATTTTAAAACAAATAATTTTGGTCGTGTAATTGTTACTGCATGCCCAATGGTGTGTCATAGTTTTAATTCAGGAACCATCTTCTTCTGCCCTCCCACCCTTTTTTCCAACCCTCGGTCGTAAACACCCTAACATAATGAAGGTCTTTTATTCTTTTGTCAGTCAGGCTAACTAAACTATATCTAAATGAATTAATCAGATCAGCTCTAACCATCTCTTTAGTAGTCTACAGATTTCTCCATATTATAAGCTGTTATAATGTTTCAGTTATCAGTTCCCTGGGTAAAAGTTAAACACACACACACACCCCAATCTAGGAAAACTTTAACAATCAGTCAACGTTTGAGTCTGATTGTATGGAAAAAAAACTTTTTTTGTCAAAATGTTAGGATAATGTTAATCTTGTGCTTGGGTCAATTAAGACATGGTTGATATTCTCCCAAGCCATTCAGAGAGCTTGGTTGTTTGGAGAGGGATGTTGGATTTGTTAAATGATGAAACCATGAGTTGTTAGATTATCTCCTCCTTTTGTTTGAAAATGGGTTTATGTATCCTTTATTATACAGTATGCCTTTAAAAAATAAATAAATGATAAATGCCTTTAATTTTCAAATTTAAAACGGACAGATTTTGACATCGTCAAAATATGTAGTAAGGAGCTGCTGCCTTTTAAAATTTGTATGCCTGAAACAGACTCTTAGGCCATAGTGAGAAAGTCTGTAGTTTTAGTCTAGTCAGGAATATGTTTGCAGGCTTTTACTTATAAGCATAGCCGAGTTATTTTTTTGTAAGGGTTTACTTTGATAGGAACGTTCAAGGGTTTAAAGCTCTACCACACATCTGATATCACAAAACTGGTTTAAATTTTTTTTTTAAATACCGGTACTGCAATGGCTGCGGCAGTCTTGTGTTAAAAGCTGCTAACTGAATCTAATAAATGTGCCAAAACCACTAGTGAAATGAATTTGATCTAATATTCAGTTTTATCAAGTTAAAGTTCTGTAAATCAGGATTTTTTCAAAACCAACATAGCAATAAAACATTTAACTGTGATGACCTTCCTTATTTGATTCTATATCAAAATTGATATTTATTACATTTTTTAAATTGAATAAATACTGTGGCTACCTTTGTAATTTATGCTGGTGTGGAGTGTGTTTTTATGTAACCATAAACATCTGCAATAACCAGTTTCTAAATATTTTTTTTTGAATTTTGATAACAAAATGCATAAATAATATAAAACTTTTTAATCTGGGACAAAGCTCTGTGGATAAGGTATATTTTGAATCTCACTGCTGTTATTTATTTTCAAAATATAATACCTTCCCTAAAAACTAAAAGTTTAAGATAAACCCATACCCAAAGAATTAACTTGAGCGACATCCTTCATATCATCAAATGTACTTCACGTAGATTACACATTGCTTTGTTGAGATTCCTCCAACACGATACACATCATCAAATGACATGTTGTATAAATTGACTCAACATTTAAATTAACCGATGCAACTATTTCGTTATTACAGTTCACATCAAGTTAAATTTTAACCCACAGCCTTAACCAGGGCAGCAGACAAATTACAAGATCTGTTTTGTTGTTTTTTTAATTTTGCATCTGCTCACAAAATATTTCATTTCATTACTAGTTAACTTTTATTTTTAAATAAATGTATCACTTCTCTTCTGCAATTTATCAAAAAATTTTTTTTTTTTTTTTTTTTTTTTTTTTTTTTTTTTTTTTTAAAGAAAACAAATTTCAATCTATCAATAGTTAGTTTGTAAGTCATAGACAGTTTTTATAATGTATTTCAGTTGGAAATTTTGATGTGCAAGTTATGTCCTGAAATCATGTTCTTTTCTTTGCTCAATAAATACATTTTCCTTATGTTTGTACCATATACCAGTAACAGCTGCTTAACCTTAACTTCGTGTTTTTTTGGTTTTTTTTAACAAAATTATCAGGAAATTTTGCTGTTCAAAATGATCACATTAAATATGTAAATACATTTGTTGAATGTAATTTTGCATTGGTTTATTTTACATTCATTAGATGGTTTTGGATTTGACAGGGGAGGAAGTTTAATATTGGGCACTTGCCAGTTGTAAGTTTTAGTCTAATGTGTTTGTAAATGTTTAAAAAAAAAGTGAATGACCATTTTCAATGTGGTGATGGGTGCTAAACTAATTCTTGGATAGAGTTTGTAAAACAAAGCTCCTATTTGTCATATCTCACTGAATTTTTCATTAGTTTTTTTTTTTTATAATTTGTTACATATAATGTTATTGTTTAAAAATGAAATGTGACCCGTTTAAGAATACCTCCTGTCAATGACTGTAAAGAATATCTTGTGAAATGTAGTTTATAGATGTCCTATTGTTAACAAATACACATACTACTTCAACAAACTGTATCAACAAACTACTTTGCCTTGATGTCAGTGCAAGTTGTAAACCTGAAGCCCTAAAATACTTATGGTTCATGTCGTGTGTGTGTTGATAACCTGTCACTAACACAGTTACCGTATGCTAAACTCATGTCGCTGAGTATAGTTGTAATGATAGATCTGTTGGATCCTATTATACTTGAATAACAAATTTTACAATAAAATACGGTTTATTCCAATCCTTGCTTTATCTCTTGTGTTACATGTGGCTCAGTAGATGTCCTGGCTGGGCTACACAGTTTCCAGACCATATGGCAGACTTTGTCAGTGTGTTTAAATGTAAAGAAACGCACCTACGTGTTTTGGTTATATTTTGCTCCACTGTGTAAGGAGCATTTCCTTCTCAAACTGACATTGCCAGGTCCCAGTGATGTCTAGCAACAGATATTAGATACAGAAACAACTCAATGCCAAGATTATTTTTGTGGTGTGTCAACACCACTGTTTTATTGAATATTGCTTGGAAGACACATCTAGAAAATGACTATCAAATTTTGTGAGCCTAGAAACGCAAAAAAATTATACACTTTTTTTTAAAATGTTCAAATCCTGAAAATCAGAAGAAAAAAAAAATTAAATGGTGAAAACGAAAACACATCTAGATTTAGTGGTTGAACATGAAAATGAAATATGAAAAAATGTTCTTAAGCAATTGAAATAAATGAAAAATAGATTTAAAACATGCAAAAAAGTACTTTGGCAACTTGCGATAAGGCATAATTTTGTCTTTATGAGCTCAGAGTTTATGAGACAATGTTTAATGTGTTTTAAATAAAATAACTGCAAGTGTTTACCAATTCACATGCATTGTAAAAATTATATTGAAATCACAGTATACCATGTTAGAGCGTTTATCTTTTAATCACTTATACTGCTGTTACAAACATAAAATTTTTTCTATTTGCCACTAAAAACACAACTGAGACCTTTTTACATTATTAAAAATTGACATGAATTATTGGTCATTTATTTAACCATTATATGTTTAATTAAATGTTGGATTAGAACATGTTTCAGATTTGTAGATATTAAATTGGACCAATCTACCTTTAAACTTCGGTGTCTTTATAAGCTCAGAGTTTATGAGACAATGTCTAATGTGTTTTGAATAAAATAACTGCAAGTGTTTACCTATTCACATGCATTGTAAAAATTATATTGAAATCACAGTATACTGTGTTGGAGCGTTTATCTTTTAATCACTTATACTGCTGTTACAAACATAAAATTTTATTTTTGCCACTAAAAACACAACTGAGACCTTTTTACATTATTAAAAATTGACATGAATTATTGGTCATTTATTTAACCATTATATGTTTATTAAATGTTGGATTAGAACATGTTTCAGATTTGTAGATATTAAATTGGACCAATCTACCTTTAAACTTCGGTGCCATCACTAAAACTATGGAAGGCCCTTACGGTCTGCAGAAATTCACCATCACCGTTTCTACGCAGAACGCTGTAACTTTTCTGGAAAAAGCCTGGAGCACAAGCGGGCCTCTTATTCATAGCGGCTGAGCTAGTAGCTTCATCTTCACTCAACACCTCGTCACTGTCAGACTCTTGACCGCCATAGACCTCATCACTGTCAGATTCTTGACCACCGTAAACCTCATCACTGTCAGATTCTTGACTACCGTAGATCTGGCTGTAGTGTTCTTCCTCTGTGTTATCGTCTGCGTTATCCCGTGTTACATTATCAGATGGTGACACAAGAATCTCATCGCTTCCCATCGCAGGTGCATCAGTAATATTACTATTGTCACTATTTATCTTCTCGGCAGTCTGGCCCGATTCAGCAGATGTCTCAATTTGCATTTCATTACCAACATCATCAAAAAGATTTTTGGAGTGAATTCCATTGCAGGTAACACCAATTAGTTCACAACTGGCAGAATTTTCCTGGATATTTTCATCAATTCTGCTTCCATTTTCATTGTTGCTTCCATCCTTCTCAAAGGTTTTTGTACCAATTTCCTTGTCATCTCCATCACTAATAATGCCTTTAGTTGCTTTTTTTGATCCTTCACAAC